CAAGGGCTCATGAGGGAGGGGGGAGTGAGGAGGAAGGGGAGAAATGGGGACCTGATGCCAGGGGCTTAGGTGGAGAGGAAATGTTTTGAGAATGATGAGGGCAATGAATGTGCAAATGCGCTTTACACAATTGATGTATGTATGGATTGTGTTGAGTTGTATAAGCCCCTAATAAAATGATTTAAAAAGAACCCCCTGATCTTGTACTCCAAGTCGTCTGATCCTGTTTCTGTGTGGACTCCATTTCTCTTCTCTTATCCCTTCTCTTTCAGCAAAATGGTTTGGTCTTTGCCCTGGGTTGGAATTGACGTGAGCATCCAAGTCAAGCAGTGGAAGCAGTTGCGAAGAAGAGAGCTTTGGAGAAGAGGTGAATTTAGAGGGATGTTCAGTTAGGAAACAAAACCAATGATGCCTGGATGTGTCTGTGTCTAGACAGATTTATATCAAGAAGTGGCTCACGCAGTGGTGGACATAGTTAAGTGCAGTTCAGTTCAAGTCCATGGGTGAGATGTAAGCAGAGGCTTTTCCAGGCTCGTGTAGCTGTGGAAGCTGATGTGTATGCAGCAGGATGACCAAGCAGGAAGGCCACAGGCTGGTGGGTACAGAATTAAAGGCTCTTGAGATCGGCAGAGGACAGATCAACAAACCAGATGCAGGATCCAGATGTAGACGGTGAAGGGGTAAAAACACTCAGCTAGGCTCAGGGTCCCTCTCTCATACAAAAACTCATCCCCCACCCCCCTGCCCCCCAAGAGGTGTCATTTCCACCTGGTTAGTAGATTGGGCTGTGTCCATACCTCCATCCAGGAATTGACATCAACTCTAACCACCACCAAGGGCAAGCATCATGGATGCTACTGTTCTGAATTTGCCTTTTCAATTGGACACCTTCATTCATGGCCATCTGGGCCTATTGCATGCCACGAAGTCAATGTTGATTCACCGTGACCTTACAGGGCAGGGTGAATCTGCCCCCTAGCCTATGCTAGGCCTGTTCTTTACAGGAACTGCAGCCTTTCTGCCAAGGGAGAACTGGGAGATTTGAACTGCCCTTTCAGTTAGCCATTGTGGGCTTCACGACAGTGCCACCAAGGCTCCTTCCTGGGAGGATCAGGGTACAGTTTTCTTAAGACAAAGGGCAGGATTTCTTGCAAAGTATCTGTGCATGAGAGAGGGGAAGAGGCCACACGCACCAAGATCCCTCATATTTCGGGGGCCCCAGGAAAATTCAACAGGCGATGCTGTGTGTGGCGCCCAGCAGCGCAGACTGTAGGTTCTACGGTACTAAGAACCAAGATCACGTCCAGGAGCTCAGTCGGCCTTTCTGGATGTTGTCATATACCCAGTAGCCTCTATCCAGAAGAAGCATGCCAGAGAGGAATTTTCCACTCTCTTATTTTTCCAGACTCAGCCCTGGCTAATCAACCAAACAAGCCTGTGTTGGAGGAGAGTTGACAGACAAAAATGAGCATCAAGTGCTGAGGAAAGGTCAACTGGACTTGGCTGGGCAGGAAGGCCACTATGAGTCACTGGGATGGGGGGCGGTGGCGCAGGGTGAGGGGGGGTGGCGGGGAGAGGTGGCCTTGATTGAACTACAAGGCACTGAGAGACTGCTTCCCACAAGATGGGCATAGCTTTGTAGAGTGTGTCACCCACTTTGATAGAGATAGATTCATCTTATTTGTTCCTCCTGTGGGCCCTTTGATGCGACATGATTCTATCTCCTCAAAGTCTTTCTGAAGGTCAGACCCACAGTGCTTGAAGGAAGACACCCAAAGATGTGAGTTTTGTGGTTGACACAGTTGTAAGAAAGTGAGCTCAGAGGTACTCAAGTGGTTTTACAACCTTTATTTCACCTTCTCTCTAACCTAATCCCTGTCTTACCCCCACCTCCAGGTAGGCAGACCACTGCATCCCAGGAGCGCGGGGTCCACCTCTAAGACTTGGAGTAAGACCCCGTCTACCCTCCCTTTGCCTCAGGCTGAGCGGGTCAAATAGGAAAGAGTTGGTGGTGGCTGCCAGCTGTCATGGAGCTTCTCCTCCATCGAATACCTGACCCTCTCCTTGGAAAATGGGGACATCGTTCCAGCAGACAAACAAATATTTTAACTCATCACCTGCCAACCTACACTTCCATGGCAAAGCCAGATTGATGCCATTATTTGTATTTCTTCTGGACTATATCCCTATTATTTTGTCAAACATAGTGGTAAATTAAAAAAAAATTCAAGAAGAAATAATAATAAAATTAAGAAAGAGATTTATCGACCGCATTTAAACCTTTTCCTTAAGTATTATGACCAGGGCTTTGTAAAGGCTGTCCAAGCTGCCCCTGGTATACCTCACACTGTCATCTCATTTCTGTTCACACCCCTGCTAACTGTGGAAATGGACTCAGGGAGGTGGAACGGCACTTCAAAGGCTCCACAGAGAGTAGATGGAGGAGTTGAGTTTAGATCTAAGTCTTTCAGCTTCTGAAGCACCTCACACAGTCTGGGTCCCCACACTCCCTAAGGGAGCTCTTAAGCAATGGGAGAAATCCAGTCGGACCCAAGGCTTCAAGCTTGAGCTGTCTTACAGTCTCTTCCCAGCAAAGTCTCCCAACGTTAGGCGTGTTCTCTACTAGAGAAATGTAAAACTCATTCAGTAAATTCTTGGTCCTGAATGTTAAAACCCACCGGCACTTAGATGCCATGGTTTGGTTCACTGAGGGCCAAAGTCCTGATGAAACAAAACAACGCTATGTAAGTGCCTGACCAGGGCCATCACTGGGGAGCTGTCACTGCGTGCTTCCCGTTTCTCGATGTTCACCTCATCCTCCGTTCGATTTCACTAAAGAGCTGGTCTCAGGGGACGATGGGGTTCAGAGGACTTTGCTGTGGGGAAAAAGCTACCGAACAACGAGAAGCCCACGGTACCCGCCCTGGTCGGCCACAGATGACGGAGTGCCTGATTGAGTGACTTCAGTGTCCTCATTGGAAGAGGGCCCACGCCTCCCCCACAGGACGCCACGCTTTGAAAGAAAGTGCAGCGAGGCCAGCCGACCACGGCTAAGGCTGTGATGCACCCGGATCATCATCTCAGGGGACCCGGAACTTGTCCAGGGAAGGCCAGTTGGAGAGCTTCGGTCAAAGGCAGGGCTCGGCAAACTGTTGAGACAGAAGAGCCAATCCTGTCCCTCACAACAATTTAAAAATAATTGACGAGCCATAAATATATTTTTACAAACCAATGAAAGCACCATTAGCTAAATAATAGCCTTTAATTTTTTTCCAATTTTCCTTCAGGGCCACTTGTATGCACCAAAAGAGCGGCAGGTGGCCGAGCCCTGGCTAGAGCATTGGTGACGCACCACTAAAATTAGGAGGGTCTTCTTCCCAAAGAATTTTGGGGCAAACTCTGGATGGCTCACCAGCATGCAGGACTCACTGCACCTGCCTCTCTTTAGAGCGCTGCACAACGCTAGGACCAGACCCCCTCAGTCAAGAGTCGCTCTCCTGGATCTATGCCCCTTCTATAGGTTTAATTTACCAGCTAGAAAAGGATTGGCACCAGGGGGAGGGGAGACAGTGGTTGGTATAAGCTACGAAAATAATAGTAATTTATTATTTATCAAGGGGTCATGAGGATGGGAAGGGGAGGGGGTAAAAAGAGGAGCTGATACCAAGGGCTCAGTGGAAAGTAAATGTTTAGAAAATGATGATGGCAATATATATACAAATACGCTTGATACAGTTGATGTATGGATTGTTAGAAGAGCTGTAAAAGCCCCCAATAAAATGCTCTTTTAATAAAATTTTGTTAATTAAAAAAAAAAGGATTGACGATTTCCTAAAATTAACTGGAAACAGGGAATCCAGGACAGATGAACCCCTCAGGACCAGTGGTGAGAGTAGCAATACTGGGAGGGTAGAGGGAAGGTGAGGAAGAAAGGGGGAACAGATTACAAGGTCTACACAGAACCTCCTTCCTGGGGGACAGACAGCGGAGAAGTAAGTGAAGGGAGACATCGGATGTTGTAAGATATGACGAAATAATAATAATTTATAAATCATCAAGGGTTCATGAGGGAGCGGGGAGTGGGAAGGGAGGGGAAAAATGAGGAGCTGATTCCAAGGGCTCAAGTAGAAAGCAAATGTTTTGAGAATGATGAGGGAAACAAATGTACAAAAGTGCTTGACACAATGGATGGATGGATGGATTGTGATAAGAGTTGTACAAGCCCCCAATAAAATGATTTAAAAAATTATACTTCAAATGTTGTGAGTGTGTATACTTTATAGAGTAGTATCCATGGTTTTCATCAATTATTAAGTGGGTTTACGGTTAAAAGGGGCAGGACTGGTCAGGACCAGCGGTGTAAGTGGTGATACTGGGAGGGTAGAGGGAGAATGGGTTGGAAAGAGGGAACCGATTACAAAGAACTGTATGTGACCTCCTCCCTGGGGGATGGACAACAGAAAAGTGGGTGAAGGGAGACATTGGACAGGGTAAGATATGACAAAGTAATAATTTATAAATTATCACGGGCTCATGAGGGAGGGGGCAGTGGGGTGGAAGGGGAAAAATGAGGATCTGATGCCAGGGGCTTAAGTGGAAAGGAAATGTTTTGAGAATGATGAGGGCAATGAATGTACAAATGCGTCTTACACAATTGATGTATGTATGGATTGTGATAAGAGTTGTATGAGCCCCTAATTAAATGATTTAAAAAAAGGGGGGGCAGGACTTTGTGGACACAAGATAGGCCTTATCAATCTTTTAAAACATGGTAGCTGCGTGTTATAAGTCCCTAGTCAGAATATGTGTTCTGACAACCAACTCAAAACCCAAAACCAGACTCACTGCTGCCCCATGGGGTCAATGCCGACTCATCGGTCTAACAGCACGAGTGCTGATTCAAAGCTGAGCACTGCAAGCTTCCGCTTGAGTACAGGAAATGGCTTATCTTATAAGACATAAGATACATTTTACTTAAACAGGAAATAAAATGCGCTGAAATAATTTATTAACATTAAGACATTAGTAACAGGCCTTTAAATACGTCTAAACAAAAAGACACTTTGAGACACATACTGGAAGGTGAGAAGTTTCTGACTTTAAAGAGGGGGATGAGGATCCAAGAAATCAATTCACCCACAGTGCTGAACCAGTACACAAGGGACCCTTGTGTCAATTCCGACTCATGACAGTCACATGTGTGTCAGAGTAGAACTGTGCTCTGTAAGGTTTCCAGTGGCTGCGATCTTTCAGCAGCAGGCCACAGCACCACTGGGTGGGTTTGAAGCAACAACCTGCTGGTTAGTAGCCAAGTGCAAATGGAAGACCTGATACACTTGGGAAAGGTCTCCTTTGGTTTTGTTTAAGTCAGAGTCAACATGACAGCCATGAATTGCACACGCATATAACAGCAATCTTAGGGGACAGATCGCCCAAATAAACTATATCTCAGGCCCCACATGGCGGGGGCAACCATCCCTGGAGAACAGTTCCTCTGGTTGACCTCTTCTCCACTGTTCAGTTTCTAGACATGCGCCCTGAAGCTGTCCTGCAGGAAGACGAAGGAGCCCTAGCCGCGGGCATGCGATACCGCACTTTTTTCCAGAACTTGGTCTTTGCAGACTGAGGTTCCGCCATGAAGTTCCCACTCCACTGGATGGCCCCATGCTTCTGCCTGATGTACTTAATGGACTCCGGCATGTCCGTGTAGTCCTTGATTGTCTCCAGTTCAATCAGGATGACCTGCATTCCATCCTGGACGAGGGCTTGGTAGACTGTGATCTGTTCTTCTGAAGTGTTCTTTAAGAGACCGAAGCTCAGCGATTCAGGGACTATAATGATGATCAACCTCCTGCACAGCTTAATCATCTCATCGATGACACTGGCCACGGCTGAACAGAAAGAAAGAAAAGCTGATTCAGAAGCGCTCAGGATTACAGCAGCCTGGGTCTCAATGATAACCATCAGAAAGGGATACTGAGAAAAGACCATGGACTTCACACATGATGTAATCCGCAATGAATGAATCACAGTGTGAACAAGTCACCTCTTCTGTGGAACCTTCCTGACATTCCTCTACAGAATTAGGCTTCTATAGTCACAGGTCAGATGTTATTAGAGTTCATTGTTTCCATATCTCTTTTGCACGCCCCTAGACCCACAAACTGTCAGTTACTCAAAACAAAGATCTTATCATAAATAATTTTCTAGCCCCAGACTAGCTGAAGGTCTGGCATATACATATTACATGATGAACATGCTTTTTAAAATAAAATAGATTTAGACGTGATAGAAAAAATATAGTTGGCTTGAATGTTGTGTTGATCTAATATTTTCCTCTTTTATCTCATGTTTACATCATGTCAAATTGCCATGCGGCATAGGATTCATCATGAAACCATACAATATACCCCAATGGTTGCTTTGGGAGGAAAGCAGAGAATGTGTTACATGTCCAAGTATACAGACGCTATTCTGTATACTGTAATGGGATATAAGGACAAACTAGTCTCCATAAGAGTAGCTGACTTTTATACTTCTAGTGCCTAGAATTGAGTCCCTATGTGCCCAAATGGCTAATGCCCTCAATGAGTAACCAGAAAGGGACCCCGGAAAAACAAAGGTCCCCGACTCTGCTCCCACAGAATCAATCACTGACCCCCTATGGAGCACGGAGGGATCGCCTGGCCGCACGTGGGATTGCTGTGAGTCGGAAGGGAGCTGACAGCGCTGGTTGGAGTGCCCAGCTGGTGCCGAGCATGTAATAGGTACTCAGTACATATGTGGGGAGTGGGTGAATCTGTTTATCCAACAAGGGCTTGTCTACATGTTTATGACACATGCTACATCAAATGTTCACATCTCCTGGAAGAAGATTTAAAATTTGCAAAGGTATGGACATAGTTGTGTCACTATGGATCCAATGTATTTCCAAACAAGTGACCTGGAATAGGCCATGACTCGGCTAGAGAACAGGGAGAAGATTGCAGTTATGAAGGATTTTTGTCTTGTTTGGATCCACAATCAATACTCATCGAAGCAGCAGCCAAGACAGGATCAAAGATGCACTGCATGGGGTAAATCTGTGGCACAAGACTTCTTTAGAGTGTTGAAAAGCAAAGATGTTACTTTGAGGACTAAAGTGAGCCTGACCCAAGCCATAGTGTTTTTAATCACCTCATATGCATGTGAAAGTTGAGCATTCAATAGAGAAGATGGAAATAGAATCCATGCGCTTGAATTGTGGTGCTGGAGAAAAATATTGAAAGAACCATGAACTGCCAAAAGGACAAACAAATCTGTCTTGGAGGAAGTACAGCCAGAATGCTCCTTAGAGGCAAGGATGGCAAGATTTCATCTTACACACTTTGGACATGTTGTCAGGAGAGACCAATCCCTGGAGAAGACATCGTGTTGGATAAAGCAGAGGGAAGATGAAAAAGAGGATGGCCCTCAACAACTCAGCAAGATGGACTGATACAGCGACGGCATCACTGGGCTCAGGCACAGGAACAATTAGGAAGACGCTGTCCCAGGACCAGACGTGATTTTGTTCAGTTGTGCATAGGATCACAGAGTCAGGATTGACCCAATGGCACCTAAATACAACAACGATGTGCTGCCGCATAGGCCTAGTGATCTTCTTCTGCAAGGGTATAGGCTTAAAGATACGGCCGAGCAACTGGACTGAGCAAGTGAAACCATGACCACAACCACTAATGCTATAAAGCGGTAATCTTGGCTTTCCTGTGCCTAACAAAGGGTGCTCGTTTTTGATATCATTTGAGTCAGCATGGATTCGAGGGCAGTGAGGTGTCTTTTTTGAGACATCAGTCATTTTGCCACATGGCTTTTAAAGAAAGAGGGTATAAAGGACAAAAGAAAATTCATTGGTTAAGTGTCAACTATGTGTCAAGTGCCACCATGGTCCTTTTGCAAGTTTACAGCATTTAATCCTCTCTCTCAGAGCAGGGAAGCATTCCTGTCCCCATTTCCTAGATGAGGCCACCATCCCCTACTCAATGGGACAAGCAAATAAAGAAACTCTCTTTTATTTGGATGGAAGAGGCTCAGGTGGGATCGAGGTTTACAGGATCAGCTTGACACATGAGTTAACTTCCATACTCAAGCCAACTGAAGTCACTCCGTTGTCAGTCTTCATCACATAAGGGGAAATGACTGGTCACTTGGCTTCCGGCCAGAACTATACCACTGGCCTCCCATGCATGTGGATGGATTGACCTTGTTCTTTCTCCAAAAGCAGAGTTACGTTAGTTCAGCCAGGAATCCTAGTCATCATTGTGTTGCAAGAATGGGCATGAGGAAAGAAGCAACTTGGCCTAAGCACGTGGGGTTGGGGCTGGTGTAGCCAGAGAGGCTGTGGTCAAAGACTTCCTGTGGTTTCCAGGCGAGAGTATGCCAACCTCCCACCGTGTGTAATGAGAAGGGTGGGGAGAAGGCCTTTCCTTTTTAAAATTCATCCGTTGTTTTTATACCTCACTTAAACCATACCTTGTCCTGGAACTTCATCCCTCCCGAATATAAATAACTTATATCCACACTGCCTCTCCAACACCTCTGGCAGGATTGTCAGCACGAGCATGTCCAAGTTGTGACTCTGGCTTCCACTCTGAGGCTTGGGGTATAGGACATATGCGTCATAGAGTTTCCCGTCTGAAACAGAAGTGAACAAACATATGGAATGATTTTTTCACTGAAGTATTTTAAGGTAAAACAATGAAAACCTGACTTGCCACCATTAGGTCTTTTTAGCTTGAGTTCTGAGACATCAGAACGAAGTACCAAGAATTTCCAAAACACGGAGTCCGGTTCTCACAGAAGGAAGCTGAGACTCTAAGTACTGTATAAATTCTCCAAGGTCACACAGTCCAAATTTCAACCTGAGTTTTGGACTAAGTGGTAGTTACATAGTCTGCTGTCCATTTGGGACTTGAGGGAAGAGTGAAGGGGTGGAGTCTAGTCTGTCAATCCGGTTATAGCCAATGAGGCCTCTGTGTGGGCATGGCCTTCTCAAGGATTCTGGGTAATCCTGTATTTCCTCCTTGGAAGCAGGGAAGACACACTTGCTCTCTCTGCTCACTTCCTGTGAGACATCCCTGAGGAGAAGCCACAGGGACCTACCCTGATGTAGCCCTGCAAACTGGATGAGCCACATGAGACCCTTACCAGCGCTGAGATGCTTCCAACACCATGGGATCCAAAGACTTTCTACGCCCTGGCCTGTGATTGTCCTGCATTTGGTGTCATTGCATGTGTTTTGTGAGTCTGAAGAGGACTTTATGAATTGGTATTGGAATTATGGACTTGATCTGGACTGGGTTGAGACATTTTCTCAATATTCAACTGCTTTTGTGTATAACCCTCTATCTTGTATACACAGGAGTATGTATGAATTTGTTTCTCTAGTCCACCTGGACTAACAGACTGTGAATCCCTCCCTCCTTCTGGGGTGGCTCAACCAGGGAGCTGAGAGCAGGCAGGGAAGTGCTCCAACGTTTCCCTTGGTGAGTCCTGGTCAACGGCAGAAATAGACCAACAAGGTGAAGACTAACATCACAGATTTACTTCTCGGGCCAGTGGTGACGATTTCTGCTGGTTTCTTCTGGTTGAGGTATAATCCATGCTGAGGTTACACTCCTTGATATTCAATTAATAAGGGTTTCAAGTCTTGTTCCTGTTCAGCAAGTAAGACCGTGTCATCTGCATCTCGTCTGCATCTGGATCAAGCAGCCCCATCACGAGAAAAGACTGATGTTGTCAAGGAGTTCCTTTGCCTTGGGGTTCACAATCAACAGCCACAGAAGCAGCGATCAAGAAATGAAAGATCGCACTGCGTTGGGGAACCCTGCTGCAGAAGCTCGCTAAAAACAAGGATACATTTGAAGACTAAAGTGCCCCCAGTGCAAGCCATGGTGTTTGCATGTGTTTTCACACGTGTGTGAAAGCGGGACAATGAATAAGGAATGCCGCAGAAGACTTGGTTTGCTTGAATTATGGTGCTAGCAAAGGACAGTAAATAGACCATGGGCTTCCAGAAGAATCTTGAGTCACCACAAGTTTGACTCAATTCAACAGCAACCAACATGGACACGGTAGACAATAAGAGTTAACTGGACATGGTATACAGAGAGATGAAAATCCTCTGTGGTCTGGAGTGCTTGGACACAATTCATAAAGGGCATGATACCGTTCCTGGGTTTGAAAGAGGGAGGAGAGTTCAGAAAAACTGAAGCACTGAAGGTGGAAGGTGAACAGACCAGGTAAGGGAACAGTTTGAAAAGAACATGGCAGAAATTGGCAAGCCCAGCCAGTGGCCTGGCACGGCCAGGATAGGCAAGACCAGAAAGTTTCAGTGAAGTAGAAATCTGTGAATTAGGTTGAGTGGGACAATGGGTCTCATAGTGACCCTATAGCACAGGGTAGAACTGCCCCTGTGGCTTTCTGAGACTGTAACTCTTTACGACAGTAGAACGCCTCCTCTTTTCAACCCTCAGAGCAGCTGTGGGTTCCAACTGTTGATCCTCCAGTTAGCAGCCCAATGTGTATGAGTTGCTGTGGCAGTTACATAATCTGTCAACTTGGGAAGGGGTGGTCTAGCTTGATGACCTCATTTGGAGACCATAAGGAGATAAATAGCTCTCTGGAGGCCAGATCCACACTCCTTGTGAGACATACCTCTTGAGAAGCCACATGGAGCTATGTTGATAGAGCTAGAGCCCTAGAGATGGAATAGCCATGTGGAGACCCACACCAGCATTGAGATGCTTCCACCACCACAGGATCCACAAAACTTTCCACCCACTGGCCTGTGATCTTCCTGCATTAGGCATCATTTCATGGCTGCATGAGTCTGAAGAGGAATTTATGGACTAGCATTGGCATATGGGGTAATATCAGACTTATGGACTTGATCTGGATGGGGTTGGGAGGTTTTCTTAATTTACAATTACTCTTTGATATAAAACTGTCTCTTAGACACATATGATTTGTTTTTCTAGTCAAGACAGTTTAAATCGATTCGAAAGCAGTGAGGACAATAAGTAACAGTGAAAGTCTCATTAAAAATGGGAAAACTAAGGGCCAAGGTGCTTAGAAAGTCAAAACCCACCTTAATGGGAACCTGAAAAGAGAGCCAACACTTTCTGTTTCTTTTCTTAAACTTTTGGGGAAGAATTAAATTTTCCTAGTTAAAAAACATTTTTTGATTTATATTTTTGCTGCTAACTGGTTTCATTGATGCTTTATTTACCTCCTTACTAAACATATGGCTTCTTTACTTCTAAGACCACATCAAATACCCAGGTTACACCCTCCTCTGTCCCACGCACTGAATTTTGTGTCTTTCTTCTCTCAATCGGTTTCTTTTTTCCCCACTGGCTCAGATTTATTTGGCCACATGGTAGAACTCAAAAACATAAATACAAATTGCTAAATGCCTTCTCAGGGTGCCCTGGTGTAGTGGTTAGATTTTGGGCTGCTAACCTCGAGATCAGGGATTTGAGCCCCTAGATGCTCTGCAAGAGAAAGAGCAATCTTTCTATTCCTGTAAACAGCCTCAGAAACGCCCCCACCCCCACCCCGGGAGTCCTACTCTATGCGATAGGGTCACTATGCCTTTGAATGGACTTGCTGGCCTAAAGAAGAGCATTCTTGTTTTAGATCGTGTTCCATGTCCCCCGTGTTTAGGGGCCATCTGAGGGCATCGCGCACCTTGCCATCCAAACTCAGGGACCGCAATGAGATGGTGAGTAGTGTGTCGTGCCCTTTCAAAAACTCAAAATGCAAAAATACCTTGAGTGTTTTAGTTTGCTTGTTTTTGTTCTGGACTAAGGTTTTGAGACAGGGCATGACTTGCTAACTTGTTCTCAAAATTCAGTCAGTGTTCATCTCTTTCAAATAACCAATGCATGGTTTACTAACCAATATCGCAAATGATCAAGCAGGAGACGTTTTTGCCCTCTTCTTCAGCTTACTGATTTCGAAGGGCCCTGGCAGCTGAACCACAGTCAGGGTACTTCCTCAGCCCTGCCTCTCACAGCGAAGGGAGGAGGGCATGGGTACACCCTTGGATTCAAAACAAGGAAGCTGAGACCCAGCATGGTTGCACTGGGTCTCCCAGCTGGTATCAACACATCCTGTATTCAAACCCAAGTCTTTTTGATCTGATTCCACTGCTTTCTTTGGTAGTAGAAATAAGAACTGAAAGCAAGAAGTGGAGAGAGCGCACTTCCCAAAACATATCACTGGTTAATCCTGTGCATGATCCTCTGGGAGACTCTAATTTCCAAAAATAGGCCCAACAATACTTAAGAACTTTGCCACTTCATCTCCCAAAGGGATGGATCTATTTCCCTTCCCCTTGGGTAAGTCTCTGTAGCTGCTTTGATAAATGGAATGGAATCTAAATGACACTGGAAATTCGAGGGCTATGTCATAAACATATGGCTTTCATCTGGCTCTCTTGCTCTTGCAATACCCGCTCTTGGAAACCAGATACCATGCTGTGAAGTCCAAACTAGCACACACACAGTCCACTAAGAGCGGCCCATGTAAAAGAACAGAGGCCAGCAGCCAATAGCCGAAACCAAACTACAAGTCTTCCAGCTGTAGTCCCACACACCGTAGGGAAGAAATAGACCACGCCTACTGTCCACATTGCTGACCCACAGAATCACTCAGTCAAATAAACTGTTGTTTTGTGTCACAAGATCTTCCAGGTAAGACGCCATGCAGAAAGTGTGCTGTGCCCAGTCTGCCCCCCACAGCGGGCAAAGCGTGAAGGGAGTGCAACAGGGCAGCAGGGGGAGCAAAGTAACAAAGCTCCCGGGGAATCCTGAAAATAGACTGCTAGCTCGGGGGACAGGGCGTGGCACCTCATCAGACCGGATTGGAAAACACTCATAAGGGTCAGCAGGTAGACCTCGACTATCGTTTTTGTTGATGTCATTGTTATTTTCTTTTGCTCTATGTCTATCTATATAAGATAGGCAGCACAAATAAACTGGGGGACATGGGAGGGCAGGGAGAGGGAGCAGGTAGCCACCAAACTCAGGGATAAGGGAACAACAAGCGACCTAAAATTGATGAGGAGGAGGGTGTATCAGGCCTGGTGGGGTTTGAACAAGTGCAATATATCCGAGAGAAATTACTGAGAGCCGAATGGAGGGTGAGCATGATAGTGGGACAGGAGGAAGTTGAAAGGAAATAGAGAAAAGAACTAGGAAACAAAAGCTATTTATAGAGGTATAGCTATAGGCATATATATATGTAAATATATTAATTTATAATGAAAAGTATAGAGGCCAATGTACATATATTTATATGTAAATATGTATATGTATATTTACATACATATATTTATATGTAAATATTATGCAATATTTACTTAAGGCCTCTCTAAACATCAGAACCCTTTGTTCTAATAGCCTGGCACTCTGATACTCACCTTCCTGACATGCTCACTGAAGACAAAATGAGTGCAGAAGCAAATGTAAAGAAAGCAGATGGTGCCCAGCTATCAAAATATATAGTCTGGATCTTAAAGGTTTGAAGTTAAACAAACAGCCACCTAGCAGGGAGGTAAATAAGCCCACATGGAAGAAGCACACCAGCCTGTGTGATCATGAGGTATCGATGGGATCAGTTATCAGACA